CCACAAGGACAACCACCGTGTTTGGGGTCCCCTAGTTTAAGACACCAAGCATTTCATGCGTGGTGTCTCGCGTCTTTTCCAGCCGATCTGTTGATATTACTATAGGAAAACAGGGGATCGATCCATCGATCCGCCTCGCCGAGGAGCCTCTCAAGATCTTCGGGCGTGTCACGCAAGCCTCATGCTTCGTCTCTCCGGGGACCCACACAACTGGTGTTGTTTGCTGGTGGTTCTGCTAAGGAAACACCAGACCGAAGGGGCACTCTCAAAAACACATACCTATATATTTCCGGGCCGCGTCAAAGAATCTATAAATGTAGACTGGCTGTTGTTGTAAGGAACAACGGGAAAGCCAACATGAGTTTGCAGGACCCACCTCTAGCCCCTCAAGAATGCAAGCCAATATGTCGTAGAAGAAACTATAGGATTCTCTGACCTCTGGACCCTCTGCATAAGTAGCACCTAAAGAGGCAACAAAGCATCAGCGGGACCCAACTAACATTCGAACCTGTTCAACTCAAAATCCGGCGTCTCCAAACTCTCGGGGCCAAGCAACCTACGGGTCTGTGGGTTTTTTCGTCCACAACTCTTTGGTGGACATCTAGGGGCCACCTCTTTTGAGTTGCTTCCCTACTTAACCCCCCCCCCAAAAAAAACAACAACAAACAAACACGTGTCAACTTTCACGAGCTTGGGTACCTCGTCCACAAGCTTCTGATTGATCGGTCTTCAGCGCACCCGTAGGGGGTGTGCCGTTTCTTCAGCGCACCGTATACCCCTTGGCTTGCAGCAAAAGCCACGGGGAAACTGAGAAACCAACCACTTTGCAGTGCAGCGCCCTGCGGAAGGTTCTTGCGTAATCGGGTGTGGGTCCAGCTTTAACGCAGCACTTTCGGCCAGCACCACCTGAAATTTAACAATGGTGTCTGATTCGATTCCCTTGACCAACAAACGATGGTTTCAACCATTCGTTTCGTGGTGCGAACAGATTTTGCAACCATCCACAGTACCTTGCAGCCAGCTGTCAAGCCCAAAAATGCTCCAGAGCAGAAAGCCTTTGAGATGGGAAGGGCCTAAGCTAAGCACCACTTTCGCTGCAAACTGTCGCAAAGACTGCTGGGGGGAAAACAAATTCTATCATTGCTCACACAAAAACCTGCACCAACATGACTTCCAAACCTTGCAAGGGATCTTTTCTTTCTCAGCTAAAGGTGAAACATCTATCAACTGGCCCAAGCTTGTTTGTTTTACATGTTTTTAAATTGTAAACCAAGCCGAGTCAACCCTTTTTGCGGCCCATGTTGAACACCCGTCTTTTTGCGGCGACCTCGTCGTCTAATTCGGGGTAAACCCCCCGTCGAAGCGGAGCGGCTGAAGCCGTGCTCTTGCGTGAACTTCTCCAAGGTCATCCGTGGCTGGCGAAGCACCTGGCAAGGAAGGCCTTGGAAGTCTGGATGCGGGACCTCTCAGTGTCGTTGGGCTGGGGCGAGCAAAGGGAACAAAAGGCAATGCCTTCATGATTCCTGGGTTCATGGGGCTAAGAGGCAAAAGGCAATGCCTTCATGATTCCTGGGTTCATGGGGCTAAGAGGCAAAAGGCAATGCCTTCATGATTCCTGGGTTCATGGGGCTAAGAGGCAAAAGGCAATGCCTTCATGATTCCTGGGTTCATGGGGCTAAGAGGCAAAAGGCAATGCCTTCATGATTCCTGGGTTCATGGGGCTAAGAGGCAAAAGGCAATGCCTTCATGATTCCTGGGTTCATGGGGCTAAGAGGCAAAAGGCAATGCCTTCATGATTCCTGGGTTCATGGGGCTAAGAGGCAAAAGGCAATGCCTTCATGATTCCTGGGTTCAAGGGGCTGGCAAAAGGACAATCACACCCGCAAAGGCTTTATGGCGAAAAGAAGTCCAGGGGGCCCATACATTTCGGTATCGTATCCGTCCCCGCCTTGTCTGGGACAAAGAAAAATAGCCTGGGACCAACGACCAACGTTCGCTGCCCGAAACATCTGGAAGTCCTTCACCTTGGGATCTTGACACATGCATTCATGGGAAGACCACAGCCTTTGGCTCGAAACGTCTTGGCCTTGATAAAGACATGGTCTTCTGCTGCCCTGTTTGATCTGAAGTCACCGGAGCAGCCTGTTCTGCGGGCCAGCGCTGTGATGAGAACCGAAGGGTGGGGTAGGGACACTGAGATTTACTTGGCCAGCCATGAAAAAGACCCCATGGAAGACCACCTTCCCCTAGCAGGGACCCTCTTGCAGGTTCCATGTTTGTTTTTGGGAGGGCAACATCTTGAATTTTGCTGCTTGAATCCCAAACCCCCACCCATGGCACCCCGCACTCAGCCCAGCCCCACCGCACCTGGAGCTCGGCGCCTTGCTGCGCCATGAGCTCAAAAGGCGCCGCCTCCTCGTCCAAAATCGAGGCGCCGTTCAGCAGGCGCTGCTCCGCCGCAGGGATGCCCAGCAGCTCCTGCCGTTGAGAGAGGCTGGGAAATGGCCATGGGTCAGAACCTATGGCGATCCCATTTTGGGGCGGAGGAACACCCATGTACCACCTATTTTGATGTTCACCAGGGGTACAGGGTTTTGACCCACAGCCAAAATGAGAAAGGGCGCACCGCGAGAAAAACCATCCAACCGATTTGGTGTGCTTTCAGGATGGCTTGTGGATAGCTTTGGGGGAAACTGGGGTGGAGGGAACCTCTTTAGAATGTTCAGGTATTAGAGACGCTCGGTAAACGGTGCCTTTGCTGGCTTGGCCATGGATGGTGAAGAGGCTTGCACTTAGACATGATTCTGTGACTCACCACACATTTGGCCACCTGTCGGGTCAACAAGGTAGAATTGTACAGGGAAATGACGGGAACAACAAACCAAGGTGGTTCTGTCGTCTAAAATATCGATCCGTGCCTTTGAATTCTGAAGAATTGGCGCCCGACTGATCACCAAAAGAGATTTTGCCATGGAGTACATGCCAGGCACAGTCAACATGTGCTGCCCTGCTGGACATTGGAATATTCTAGAGTCGCCTGGTGGGATATGAGCTTTCTATGGATGTCAAGCTCCAATAATCCTAGAACAAGCGTGAACACCTCGTTGCCACTTCCAAAATGGGCCAAAGTCACAACCTCAAAATACCCTCATGGTGGCTTAAAAGGCCAAAGTAAGACGTGCGGTTGTTGCACGAAGTAAGGTGTTCAAACCACTTTCTATAGGTTATAAGCGAACCAATTTGCAAGTATGTCGGAAGCCTATTCTGGTTGTTAGGGGATTGACCATGGCTATAACCTACTCCAAGTGTGGAATGTGGCGAGGAATGATCCCAGGACCCCCCCAAAAAAAAGAAAGTCGAGATTCATGACACAACTGCTGGCCTCAGTACCCGGTGCTTCCCGGCAAGCCACTGTAGATAATTCCGGGAGTTGGCCCCTCTAATGTCACGTGTAAACATGTAACTGGAAGCAGTGGTGGTTATTATTATTGTTGGTGTTCAGGGAATAAGAAAACGACCCCAAATTCAATTCAAGTGGTGCTTTCCGAATTCAAGCGGTGCTTTCCTTTTATGCTGAAAGAATCCAAGTAACCCCTATGAATACCATCCGCCTGGTTTGACAGTCGCCACCGATCGAATCAGCCGGGATGCCACGTCCCGGTCCTCCAGGATGGGCTTGGCCTCCCAGACTTTGAGCTGCCCATTGAGTTGCACCTCTCGTTTACGCCGGAGAAACCGGCCGCAACATGTTTTGCTTGCAAATGCGAGTGCCGTTTTCTGGGGGAAGCCCCGGCAATGGCTTCGGTGTCCCTTGAAAGGGTACCCTACCAACAAAAGACAGACCCAAGTACTGTCGGACAAAACCAACTTCAGAATCAGTTGGGATGGAACCCCGATGGAAACTGGGATAAACCACTCAATTGGAACTGTCCATCAAATATCAGGCTTACCCAAAATTCCACTTTGAGCGGGGGCCCTTACCCTGTGAAGATGGTTTTTGGACCCCTCGCAGGTCCAGCTCGCTCCCATGACCTGATCCATCGCTCTCGCCTGCCATTCCTGCCCGGAGATGTTTCGCACAGTCAGCTCCACGTCCATGGCGAAATTCCCGGCAAATCCGCCGAGTCCAGCAATGGGATCTCAGGAGTTGAACCAATAAGCACAACGTCCAGTATGAAACACAGGGCTCTGCCACGTAAAAGGTAGATGAGAAAGTGATGCATCACTCAAAGTGGAGATTGAACAATAATCGAATTTGAATCGGGTCGTGTTGTAGGTCATCCTTGCACGCCTTCCGCAAACATGTGTTGCAAAGTCTGCATGTTTGTGGCTCTGTGCAGAGTCAATCGATGGGTTACTGATCCGCTCTTCTGAGTCTGAGAGAAATAACACTGCTGAGCTTCCTGTGTGTTGCATGTTAATCCTTTTACCGGCCTCCTTCACTTGTCTGCCTCCAACGCTGCAGATTCACTGGTGACGCACGGGTATCGGAAGCGCACTTGCTTTACTTCTGTGTCTCCTTGTTCGGCCGCGCCACGTCCAAGGCATGAAATGCCCATGACTTCCCAAAATATGGGTACTGAAGTGTCTCGAAACGTGTGACTCCTTCCAGTGGTCGTTTTGCCTTGGGAGTCGCTTTGCAGGCATTGGGGGCTTTCCCAAGCAGGGGCATCATGTTCACGGCACGTGCCGGCTTTGGAGGTCGCAAGCTTGCGCAGCGTTACGGACCTGCTCTCACGTGCTGGTGAATCAGCTTGCGAATCGGGCAAGTTCCATCCAAACTGGCCGGCCATGCAAACGCGCCCGAGATGCTGCGAGCTAGATTCAAACGCCGGTCCATACAAACCAGAATTCGCTGAGCCTTTGCATTTGGTGTGTGTACCTCGTGCCCTTCCCTTAAGCGCTCCCGTTTTGCGGCAACAGCCTCTGAATTGAGCTTGCCATCCGTGCCAGGCGAGATCGTCCCAACACGTCCTTTCTGTGTTGCGAATCGGCGCCGC